GATTATTAATACTCCTGTGGACAAAATTGGAAAACCGTGAATTTAATCAAAGCGCCAAACAATGAATATCGTGCAAAGTGATTAAAATAGTTGAAAATAACATAAAACTATTGGTTTTCCTTCCACAATTGAATATATTATATTCATATCTAAAATAAACTATAAAAAACCGTTAATATTCATAACATTTTAAATTTTATCAAAAACATTATCTCATTTAGGTTTTATATATTTTTCGTTTGCAAAACAATTTTAATTTGTTCATAAACAATAAAGAAGAAAGCAGCTAAATAACTGATGCGTTATTTTTAAGAAAGTCTCTCGATTTGTTATTTGAATAATCGTGTAAGAATAGGTTTACTCAAAGCAAGCTTAAAAAGAGAACTGTTAAAATATAAATAGGTATACTTATTTTTTAACGTAATATTCTATTTATATCACATACATTTATGTATACACAATTAACAAACATAAATGTATTACTCAAATGCTATGAATAAATTTTATACGCTGAGCCACTGTTTTGCTCTTAGATGCTAAAAACATAATTTAAAATATAATAAATATCGTCAATCCTCTTGTATTTCCATCTGACAGATTGAAATTAACAGCAATTTGTATCCGTCATACCTTTTAATTACCCCTTACTCCATACCTCACATTTTTAAACAAATCGACAACTTCACAGTCCCTTAAAAAGGAATGAGGAAAAATAATAGAAATTATAAATCGTGGCTAATTCAAAACACTATTATATATTAATAAATTATTGCACACACACAAAAAAATTATGGAAACGAAAACGCAAAGCTATGTGACACGAATACGCTTGTTAATCTTGAGTTTTCTAATGTTCATTGTGTTTTTAAACTAACAAAAATTAATCAGCTAATATAGCATACTGCATAAAATAAAACTTTAGTAATTTACTTAATTATAAGTTAATTATTTAATTTAATTTAGTAATTTAGTTTATTACTAATAATGTGTCCATTGACAAAACTATAATAGTTGCGTATGAAAACGTCGAATTTTACAACAAGCAGAGACGAGAAATCGATCCATTAAGCATCGCAAAAGTAAAAAATGTGTGGCAGTTGGCTCTCGTTACGGCCACGGATGGAACAGTTCAGTCTTAAGCGAGCAGTAACGAAATTTCTGTTTTCGAAACGAGCGAATTCACGACACATCATTACATAATGAATCATACAGTATTATCCGATCCTCCTTTTCATGTATAGCCCGACACATATTCTTGAAAGTCCTGGGGCACAAGAGGAAAAACGACAGAATGCGAATAAATCGCTTACAAAGTGTAATTCTTTTCACCTAGAATACAATGGTTACGCATTACTTCTTGTCCATGATATCATCGTCTGTTTGTGTTTTTACGAAACAGTATAATATACATTGTTAGCAAATTGCAGTATATGGTCATCGAATATTGTATATGTGTCAAGATAATATTGTTTAATCAACTATGAAAGGTGTATTGCATGTGTTACATTTTCGTTACAATTCATATTTATTTATCCTTCGATTTTTAATCAATTAAACAGTATTTTTAGATCCTTGTTTTTCTAAATAAAGACATATTTAGGAAACAAGAGTATAAAGACTTGACTTGGAGGTCACGATGAGAGCACGTGTTTATGCGGCTTTTTCAGAATCTTACATACAAAAGTACAAAGTGCATACATTTTTTACTAAATTATAACATATAGTAGGAAACATGTATGTACAGAATACGCACATTCATAACTTATGAGCAGTGATAGAACAAACTGAAGAGCGAACTATTATAGTTTCGTGTTCAAAATAAAGTACAGTTGTAGTCGCAGACACTTTGATTATGGATCTAGAAGTATCACGGCAGTATGGAACGGCTTAAGCCGATTCAACAATTTCTATACGTAATTCTAAAATATAAACTATATACCGATGTATATAACTACAATACAAGACAATGCATCGTGTATGCACGACGATAGAGCGTGGCACTATTAGAATCTTTGATAGCAAGTAAATATTTTGCTCGAATCGCCTACTTTTTTTTTAAATTAGAGCTGATTAACAACTATGTTTTTATAGAAAATGGATACAACCGTATAATTCGGTTGAAAGATGTTTGAATATCTATATGAACAAAATAATTCATCTTCAATCGTAATATGAGATGTAAATACCAAAAGAAATCATATAGGAAGTGAATGTGTCGTGAATATGCATCGCTACTGATGTTTGCTTCGTTTCTCACATTGTCTTTGTAATTTTGGTATTTTTTATGGAACCGTTTTACATTATCACTTTCCATTGTTTCGCTTACAAACGTGGGCTTTCCTCGAGACAACTTTCGTACAATGACAATCAAATTATAAATAATGGTATTATCAATACGACGACCATAAAAACTATTTTGCGCAGAAGTATCTACAATTACCATTCGAATTATTTGGTATTCGGGACACCTTAATGTAAGTAACATAAATTCCATTGATTGATTGTGACGTTTTACATTATTTAATTGATTATCGAGATACAATGTCGACTGATCTAACTGTTTTATTAAGGAACTAGTACACGAACAGTAAATCTCTTTATAAAAATTGATTGAATAATGATGGATAGTACGATTATTAGGTGGGATGCAGCGTTTAATGAGCCCCAGAACGTACAATATCTCTCACGTAAGTAAAGTATCATCTAATTCTTCCATTTTGCATTCGGGCTGTGAAAGAACTTTGCGTAATACTTTGCTCACTACGTCCGATAGGGATTCCCTTGCTCCAACATCCAAGAACGTCATACAACGCTGCAAAATATGTTCTCATAAGTTATTAAACACAACTAGGTTCCGAAGTTTTGATAATTTTAAATTACTTCGTATTGCTAAAATATTTTATAAAGATCCAACTTACCAGATGTTCTTCTTCACCTTGCCTCAATCGTAGCACCGCTATTAAAGCAAGTTCACTGTTAGCTTTCACGTAACCATTTTTCTCTTTTGTTCCATTCACTAACATGGGCAGAAGTGACTTAAGTAATTCCGGTGACATCTTTTCGGGAGGTATATTACGAGCCAGATGAATACAAACTCTAGCCAATAATTGTTTTACGTCATTGCTATTATTGTTCATAGACTAAAAAAGAAATTTGAGTCTTGGTAACAAGCAATTTTCACTATTTAGATGTTATCAATTATCATTTTTCTTGTCTCATTCAAATCTTCATTTGAAATCTTCAAAAGTGCGAAATGCATAAATTTTGTTAAATATTCTCACCCTCACAAATGGCGACAAGATTTGTTGAGGTACAGGTTGTCCTTCGTTCAGAAGATATTGAAACAAGTAACCGCAAGCACGTACGCCATTCATAACTATTTGTACTCGATCCGCTGCTAAATACGAAAGTATAACCGCACACACACGATCCTTCTCTTTACTATTATATAATGTTGTCGGTGATTCTTTTAGTGCAACGAATAACGCTGCGGAACGCCCATGCCTAAGCATCCAGTCAACACTAGTGTCATTACCTACAATTTAGACAATAATAATGAAATAGTAGAATTAATTATAGTAGAATGTAAATATTCTAAGTAACAACAATGGATCAACATATTACAAAACAAATTTACAAATGCTTGTTATTTAATATGGGCAAATTGGACATTAAAAATACACAAGTTATACATACATTTAAATATTTCATGTACAATTTACGGATCTCGAGATAAACGATCGAATATGGTTTATAAACCTAACTTTAGAGACAATCTCCAACTGAATTATTAATGACAATAATCATTTAAAAAAGTACGTATATTCT